TTCAAGGTGTACTACACTGATAGAATTGACAATTTAGATTCAGCACAGACACAAATGTATAGATATATGTATGTATATGTATAACTTACACACATTCACATGCTAGATGGATGGACTTTATTAAGGAGACCACAGATATGAGTTTGCAGGAGCTGGGCAAAGCAGTAGAGGACCTTATCCATAGAGTCGCTATGGGTTGAGATCGACGTGAAGGTAGTTAACAACAAACAAAAATGTATATGTATATGTGTGAAGCTGGTGAAAATAAAGTGAAGAGTTTGGATAAGGCCCATAAAATAAAAGGCAGGTGAAATCACAGTTCACAGTTGGGTTAATTGTATAAGTTTCACTTTTGTCAAAAATCATGCCAAAGATATATACCCTAAAAGGAGATCAGTAAATAAGGGTGAGGGGCTTCTGAATTTGAGCAGAGGGGAGATGTAAACAAGGACGGAGATAATGTATTCATTTTAGGCATTTGTGATTTGTTATATAGTTTAATGACATCAATCAATAATTTTATGGGGGTGGAAAAATACTACCAGGGAAAGGGAATAAACCAGGGGTAGGCAACCTAAGGCCCGGGGGCCGGATGTGGCCCCCCGAGGCCTTTGGACCAGCCTCAGGCCGGTCCTGCTGTTGCCGCCACCGCCGCCCACCACCGCCCCCTGCCGCCGCCCGCCATGATGATATTGATTATTGTTGTTATTACTTGTTTTGGGGGTTTTGCCATGGCCTTTCTGGGGCTGAGAGAGTGTGCATGCACCTATTTTTTAAAATGTTTTTTTAAATATTTTTATTTATTTATTTATTTATTTATTTATTTATTTATGGTGCTTCGGCCCCCCCCAATTGTCTGAGGGACAGCAATCCGGCCCCCGGCTCAAAAAGGTTGCCTACCCCTGGAATAAACCATGCTGTGTCAAGTTTGGGGGTGTGCCTACTCGTCTAGGTCACCCTTCTTGCAAGAATGTTAATTAATAAATTGGAAATTACTGCTTCACTTGCTTTGCCCTGATTAATTTGATTTGGTACTTTGGTACTCAGAAAACTGTAACTTAGCACTATCCAGTATGCCTACACACCTGCAGCCCTGGAGTGCTGCTCAAAATCCAACTTTCCAAATGAACCCCATGATTAATATGCATGTGCAGCTCTGTGTTTGCCCAAGGTAAAAGGCAGGGTACTGTGCTTCAGAAATAGCATGAAATTATAATTAAAGCTCGGCGTTAGCCAT